AAAAAAAAAAAAAAGAGTTACAATAAGCTCAGGTTAGCCTATGTTTAATAAACATTGTTACTCTCCGTGCATGGTGTTTACAAACATGTAGGATTAGGCGAGCCCTTTTTGTGGACACAGACATGGTGGTAATAATGTAAAAACATGCTTGGGGCAGGCGCTGCTGGGACACTTCGGGAGGCTGAGGAGGCAGGAGGATTGCTTAAGGCCAGGAGTCTCAGACAAGCCAGGGCAATGTGGCAAGACCCCGTCTCTACAAAAAATAAAAACTTAGCGGGCGTGGTGGCACGCACCTGTAGTCCCAGCTACTCGGGAGGCTGAGGCAGGAGAATCGCTTGAGCCCAGGAGGCAGAGGCTGCAGTGAGCTGAGATTGCACCATTGCACTCCAGCCTGGGTGACAGAGTAAGACTCCATCTGAATAAACAGATAAATAACTTGAAAACCATACTTGAGATTGTTGAAAGGTCTAGGTTAAATTGGGAGGGTTTGGTGGTGCAGGGGAGATCTTACACCCCCTGCCTGTGCGTTCCTGAAATCTCAAAACATGTTGTGTTGTAGAGATTCAGGGAAGCTGTCAGCATTTTGGTGAAAACTGCTGGATGGCAGGGGCTTCTTTCAGGCTCTCGGCAGATCTCATAGATGCTCCTGGCAGGCCTGGGGGAGAGCTGGGCTCCCAGTGTCACAGCCGGTGCCTGCAGAGCTGAGAACCACTTGGTGCCTGGGGGCCGGTGGTCTTCCTGCTACCTCCTGACCTCCACGCCTGAGAAGCCAGTGGGGCCCACGCTGGGACTGGGGGGTCTGCTGCGTCTCCTATGTGGGGAAGCCTCAAACTCAAGCTCCAGGTGATCTGGAGGGGAAGAGATGGTACATGTCTATAGGCCTATGTGTGAATGTACTGGGAGTGCATGCCTGCATCCAGACACACACACGCCTGCTTACAAACACGTGTGTGCAGGGTTGACCCAGAGCCCACGCTCTGCTCTGCCTTTGAGGACGGGTGTCCCTCTCCCAAGGCCTCTGCGCCATCCCCACCCCACTGAGGAGTTGACTTAGGGCCCTTCCCAGAGTCTGTGGGCACTGGAGGGAGGGAGTTCCTCCTTTGAAGGGGACCTGGAGTGGTACCCTCCTAGGACGCGGGAGGCAGCGGGGCTGTGAACGCCTGAGCTGCAGGCAGGTGGCTCAGGTAGCAGCCTGGTGGCACAGGCTCATTACTGCATGCACGAGGCTGCTGATGGCGTTTCAGGGATGATGGGTGAGGTCGGGAAGAGCAGGGACGTGGTGTGGTTTTGAGGGAATCCTGCAGAGCTGTGGGGGTGGAACATGACTGATGAACAGCACCCGAGAGGGTGGGCGTGGTGATGACCACTGAGGAACATGGCCACGGCCCAGCCAGACCTGCTGGGGTGACAGGGTGAGTGTGGTGACCGCTCAGGAACACGGCCGGGCCAGTCCTGCTGGGGCGACAGGGTGA